TTCCTGTCCATTGAGATTTTAAGGTATATTTTTGCCCGTAAACCCTGTTATCTCTCTTGCCGCACGCACACAACTGGCGTGTTTCGTGTACAATCCAAAATGACTTGCACGGCTTCATTTCGTGCACATTCCAACTTCACTACTTAGGTATGAGATAATGTTAGCAGTTCCAAACCATACTCCACCATCAAAATAATCAGTTGCTTGTAGAGTTTATAGAGCATTTTTCGGCTCTACTGTCAAATTTGGCCGGTAAGCTGGACTGCTTCGGCCGGCTTAGTGGGAGTTATGTCCCTTGGCCAAACTCCATGTCTGCTGATGTCTTCAATGTTCGAAATCCCTAAGCGGTTGACAATGACGACTAGACTAAAATTAGAAAAGAAGCCTACAAAATGAATGTTCGTGGCATATTTAATTCTGGTACATAAATACAGTTGTATCATCGCTAGTGTTGTGGCGTTCGGGCACTGTGCTAAGAATCTCCTTGTGTGGTACATGGGAATGGCACAGCACCTGGAAGTAAGTCTAAAAGTGTTGAGATCACTCATCTTTACCAAGGCAGCTTATGGGTATGAGCCATGGAGTCAGTCATTGAAGAAAAATTCCGAGCTTTACAACTGAAGTTATACTAAAAAATGTTTAGAATAAAAGGAAGAAAACCTACATGATTTGAGCACCAAGGAGAATTGGGTCATAAACAGCATCCTTTCCTAAAAGCTGAGATGTTTTGGCCATGTAAAACATCACGATGGTCTGGACAGAATGGTGATTGAGGCTAGTTTCTTGCGAAGGTAATTATATGACCTAATTCATTGATTAAATTCTGGCCATAGAAGACAAAGGCTCAAGAGTTGAGATATTTCCATTGTCCAAGTCGGACGTGGTTTCCGCGGGGTTAGCGGAAACAGTGTGTTGGCTATTTTCTCTTTATGGGGTTTTATAGAAACGTTTTCTCTGTGTGAGGTTTTGATTTGCCGTTGTTTGCGGGAGACAGTTTAATGTCTGTTTAGTTTATAATGGCAGGAGTCCATTAAGAAAAGATTGTAATCTTTTATATCGTCCGTGTAGATAATAGAGATTTATTATCGTACATATGTTAATGAATAATCATCATCATCTTGTGCCGTATACTGTGAATAACATTAAAGTTTATGTGGCCTATCACAAGCGTTAATGTTGACTCATCAAGATAGTAACAACTGTAATTGCTGGTGTTGTGCCAAGTGTGCCAGTTATTATAGTATGCAGTACTGTAGCACATCCATCAAGGAGAGATCCAGCGGAATATTAGAGTAGGCACCCTAGGCCTAAATACTTGGTTGTTTACAGATACTAAGGAGTATCAGTGCGCAAACATACATGGTATATGTACTAACATAAATAAGTGCTATGTATACCCATAATCTACATAGGGGGTAATCCAGAGTGTACAACGCAACCTCACTCTCAGAGAGTTTAAGAAAAATCACTTCCACATCATTGCCTGCCTCAAGACGATCGACAAAGCGTGGGAAGGGGCTACCAAGGGAACCCTAACTTCTGTTTGGAAGAAGCTTTGGCCAGACAGCGTTGTCCAATGCGACTTTAAGGATTTCGAGACTGTACCCGTGGAACCTGTAGTCAACGAGATTGTGTCTTTGGCCACAATCATAAGATTGGAGGTGGATAACAGTGATATCGAAAAGCTTGTGGAAGAGCACAACAAAGAGCTGACCACCAAAGATCTTATGGAGTTTCATTGTGCTTCACAGCAAGAAGTTTTGGAGGAAAGTTTGTCAGAGGAGGAGGAGGTAACAGAAAAGCAACAATCTTCTGGTGAAATAAGAGAAATGCTGAAAGCATGGGAAACTGTTGCGTCTTACATTGAGAAGCGTCACCCTAATAAGGAAGTGGCTAGGTGAGCTGCAAATTTATTTAATGATAATGCTGTGTGCATTTTTGCCAAATTTTGAAGCAACGTCAAAAACAAATGTCTCTGGACATCTTTCTAGTAAAAACTAATTAGGTATGTATCATAATTATTTCGATTTTTGTTTGTTTTCTGCAAATCGAATTCGCATTCCAGGTGGGTTTGTTCCGCAGTGGAAGAAAAGATGAAGATTCACTTTCCTTAACATTATGTATATAAGAAAACTAAGATCATGACAAACAGTCCATACCAACAACCAGTGACCTTAAGTAACCAATCACTTGAAAATGTAGAACATTTCACATATCTTGGCAGTGTGGTGTCCCTACTGGTAGGGACAGAGGAAGACATACAGTCACGTCTGAACAAAGCTAGAGCTGCTTTTGGAAGGATGTGGCAAATCTGGAAATCCAACAATTACTGCAGAGGAACGAAACTCTGACTCTACAAGAGCATCATTTTGCCAGTTCTTCTGTATGGAGCGGAATGCTGGAGAATGACCAAAAAGGATGCACACAAGCTGTCCACCTTCCACCACACATGTCTACGTAGAATTATCAAAATTTTCTGGCCAGATACAATCTCAAACACTAAACTACTTCAAGCCACAAACCAAGAAACTTAAGACAGTATGATTACCAAGAGAAGATGGAAATGGCTTGGCCACGTTATGAGAATAACTTCTGATATACCTGCCAAAACAGCTCTCACATGGAAACCAGAGGGAAAGAGAAAATAGGGGCGCCCAAAACAACATGGAGACGAACGATGGAAAGTGGCCCATGAGTGCAGCATCTTTGACATGGAAAATTGCACTGAAGATTGCACAGGACAGGAAAACATGGAAAGTCCTCTCTGAAGCCTCATGTGCCACTAGGCATAACGAGAACTGATGATGATGAACAATATGTATATAATTTTCTTTGAATAAACATTATAATAACATTTTGTGAGTATTTTTTCGACATAGAATGCATTATTGTATTTTACATTAAATTATATGAGAAAAATTGTTTTGCTTTACAAGTATGATTCTGGAACAAATTATGCTCGTCAAGCGAGGTTCTATTGTAATACAACAAAGTTTCCATGCTCTCATTAAAGCTTCAAATTTTTAATCACTTAACTCTTTGAGTCCCAAGGAACGCGTCATACGTTCATAGATTCCTACCTAGAAGCCCAATGAACGCAAGATGCGCCGATTTTACGTCTTTTTTGACTACCCCTTGGGCCTGTAATGCTAAACCCCCTGGGACTCAAAGAGTTAAAGCATTTTAAAAATTAAACAAAAAATGCCAGTGAAAAGACAAATTAGCTTTCAGCAAATGCATGACACAGATCACCCCTCCCCGACTTATGAGAAAGATCTTAACCCACATACTCCCCCAACCCTTGACAACCAACAGATCCCAGTGTGAGAAAGCAGAATACCATGTGTGGCTTGAAGGTCACCACAAAGAGCAAGGAAGAGTCCTGCCTTCAATGAACCTGACTTTACAAAATTCACCACCCCAGAGCTATTTCCAGATTCTGTTGCAAAGTCCTAGCCGTGAGCGCTCTGCTGCAAAAAACATTGAGTTCTAGTGATGTCGGGATTATCCAATTGAAAACCCAGAACAAGAATCCATAATAGCTGGAGCACCATCTGTAGGAAACACCCATTACACCCATTACCCCCCCCCCCCCCCCCCCCCCCCCCAAACAACCAAATAAGTGGTACCACCACACCAAATTAAAAAAAACACACACTAACATTCTCGACCTTTCAACAACTTGCCTCTCTATGTCCTCCGAGAGGTCATTCATCCCAAACTTCACAGTACTGCCAGAAAGTAACATCTTTAATAACTGTTCATGATTTGATTCCCTAAAAGATAACACTTGCAGCTAATAAAATGCAAGGCCAAACAAGTGTTTCTACAACAGTGTGGGCCCTCCCATCTGTCACCATCAGTAATCCAATACAATTTTGTCCGCCCTAGGGAAGCCCAACACATCAGCTAAATGATCTGCAGGCCCACCATTAACTCCCGATGCACTGCACTCAAATGCCTGCCTCCACTGTATAACACTGCAAAACCAGACCCAGTATAGTCATCTTGGCACAATCATATCCTTTGCACAGACACCATTATTCCATTTGTATCACCAAAACAGAAGCACACAGAAGAGCTCAACTCAATGTTTAAAAAATAACACCACCAAACTCCATATAAATGACCATAGTGCCTGGTGTAGAAATGCGCAACACGCATGTGCTATCATGCAACAAGGTGATATAGAAAGCACTGATACACGTCTTGGTCAGAATCTGTCCCCAGTACTCAACTAAATACATATGCTATCAAAGTAATTATACTCTGAATGACAGAAGCAGAAAATACTTATGAAAACAAAAACCTCCCACGCCTCCTGTTCCATAAACACTTTATTTATAATGAAACCCATTTTGTTTTGTTTTCAAGTTTAAATGACCATTACAAATACAAATAAAGGACTTCTATTCAGCTTATAATTCCAATATTAAAAAAAAAAAAAATCAACAAAAGTATATGTATAGCAAGCATAATTGGATTTACTTGCTGTGCTGACATTTTCCCTATTGATCCACTATAGGAAACAAAGCAATTATTGGTATGTTAATGCGCAATTAAATTAATTTGTTACAAACTAAATTGTAACATGCTGGCTCCCCCCCCCCCCTCCCCCCGGTGGTGTAAAATTTGTGAAGTGCATCTGAACACACCAAAAAAATGCATTTTTGCAGGTCACATTTGACTTCCTCATGAATTTCACCTACAGCCACCTAGCGGTTGTGATACACATTCTACATATGAGTAAACTCCGGTAATTTTACCTTTAACATGAACCATAACAAAATGTATATATATAAATTTTTTTATGCGAGACACAGAGACAACAATATGGATCAAATATAATACTAGCTACTTCTGTAGCACTATTGAAGATCTGCTGTCTGCATCACTATGATCTTTTTTTTTTTTTTATTTTTCTCCATTGCAAAGACAGCTTTAGGTAATATTTTTTAAGGCAAATTTTTTTTAACCTGTCCTGTTTAGAAGCCATTCCTTTAAAAAAAATCTTGATTTAAAGCTACTAGGCTTTCAACAGAATTGTGTAGTCTGATGAATCTTTGAAGAAAATCATCTTCGTGGATACACTGGAGGGGGGAAAAAACCAGAATTTAATACAGAGGTAAAAGTTGTATTATTACTGTTGAAAGCATCAAAGATCTAATTATGTACATGTTTATGTGCTGTTAATTAAATATATTATAGGACATCCACCTCTCTGGCCTGAAGATCTTTCATCATTTCTTCTGTCAACAGGCAGATGTACATGTAAGGATTCTACCCCACAATGATCTGCTCATTTTCCAGTGTTTATGCTTTCTTAGTCTGTTTACTATACTGTCATCTTGGTTCAGAGGGAGGATGCATTTTCCACCTGGCCCTGGGATGAGTTTTAAGAATTGACATCACAGCACTCTGCTGAAAAGTGGGACCAGTGGTAACAGACATTTATGCCTTTCTGTCAAACAGTTGGACTTTTGAAGGTAGGATATTTAAGGCATTGTTATTATGCCACAGGACATGTAACTGACGGACATTTTAGCCTAATCAGCTGATAGACAGTGGCAGACTATTATAGTGCACCTCATCATAGTGATAACGACATTGAGATTGGACAAAATAATGTACGGGGACTGAACTGCACCCCAAGATACCACCCGCAGCAAATGCTTATCTAAGTTGCTAACAAATCTCTTGGCATAGGGCTAAGTCTTGGCAATTCAGTCACTCAACATTTGCTTGAGCCACAGTTTGTCATATAGTAGGAAATTCCACCAGTGGGCTTCACTCGCGTTCCAAATGAGTTTTTGACAGACATTATCACTCATTCACTGGAGATGGGCTGAGGAAAGCCAGACGGTTTCTGGACACTGCATCTCTAGGAGCCACGGACTCCAAGATCCCATGTCAGCTCAGTTCAGGCCCATATGAGCCATTATCCATAGCACACAAGAGGACATGTAGCAGGGGTCTTGCATGACAATCTGTAAAACCTGCACAGAGTCTACTGGCACCTGAGGTGAGATACAGAGTATCTCATTATACACATTACAACAGCTTTAACTGTCCCTGTTGCCTGTTATCAGAATCACTGTGCTACTCATACAACATGGGAGGATAACAGTGTCATTTTCTCCCATCTGAGATGATACTAGTATCCCATGTGAGATGGTGATAGTGTAATTTCATCCCAGGCAAGATGGTGATAGCGTCCTTTCATCCCATGTGAGATGGTGATAGTGTCATTTCATCCCAGGCAAGATGGTGATAGCATCCTTTCATCCCATGTGAGATAGTGATAGCGTCCTTCCATCCCGTGTGAGATGGTAATAGCATCCTTCCGTCCCAGGTGAGATAGTAATAGTGTCCTTTCATCCCAAATGAGATGGTTATAGTATCCCACCTAATTCATATCAGTGTCCCTGAAATGTCTTGCTCACACCAGCCAGTTTATAACAAATTTTCCTGAGAGGAATTTCAGTGACCCAGAAGTCACTAGCTTCTCTCCTGGTATGATAAGACATTTTTACAAAAACTTCTGCCAGTGGTATCAGCATGGATCCTGGACCTCTTAGATAAATGAAACAGCTTCTGTGCGTGGGTTCAGGGACCCCATTACTGAGGTGGGGGGAGGGGGTGAGATCCTTTTACGCCCCCCCCCCCCTTGGATGTCATAAAAGGCTACTAATTCGGGACATTTCCTTCGAAGCTGGAGTGCATCTGCCTGAGCCAAGGAACCAACAATCTGCATACAAATAAGCCATATTTGTAAAATAGATGTGCAACAAAACTGAAGTTTGGGTACAAGAGAAAGTACAGTAGTGGGCGAATAACTGGAACTTTCTGCCAGTGTTTATAGCTGGTGAGCTATAAGAATGTGCATGTTGAATGTCAGTAAAGCTAGGTAGACCATATAGATTACTTCACTAGCAAAACTGCTGGGAAAAACCACCAAACAAGTAGACAACGCATGTTCCCTCGGATGAAGTTGCCAATGTGCAAATGTGTCAAAATTTACATCCATTTCACAGCAATATGGACAAAACAATTCAGTGATGTTATTTACCTCATTCTGAGCTAAATTCTGTAAATTTCTTGCTGCAGGTGATGTTCTACAATTACAGGTGTATCTGACTGACTGCTCCAGCACTAACGGCTGCTGAAATATATGATGTAATATAAATGAAGAAGAAAGAACATCTATTTTTCCTTTGTTTTTCACACCTCGGGTAATCAGTTCAGTAGACTGTCACCAGGCTGGATGGTTTTATACAGTTGTCAGAAACATGTGTTTATGTGTCATAAACTTACAAAACCTTTATGACAGATCTAGAAAACTATGTGTTTTTGATAAATATAGACTTAGGGTTCGTAGCCAAATCAATTTCAAGATCCTGTTCAAGGTATTCTTGGTTTTTTTAAGGTTATGTCAGGGTAAGGCAAGGTATTTTTTGCCTTGTTCAAGAGTGTAGGGAGCACACAGGGTACTTTATTAGTGCGCATACATGTGGGTATACCAGCACAGATATAGTGTTTTTACGTTTTTTCTAGACTTGGTGGCAAAGGGGAACAAACTGAAGTCATGTCTGTTCTTGACGTGGTACCTTAAGCAGACAGACAGAGAGAGAGAGAGAGAGAGACAGAGAGTAGGAGAGAGTCATACAGAAAGGGATACAGACAGATACGTAGGTAGAGTGGGAGAGACAGAGTGAAAGAGAGAGGGAGACAGAGTGGGGGAAAAGGGACAGGCAGGTAGAAATGGACAGAGGAAGAGGGAAGAAGAAGGGAAAAAGGAATAAAGATGACAGCCCCCCCCCCCCCTAACAACAGTGAAGGAGTGGCCCTAATATTATTGAAAGATGTAAAGAGGGCATTTATAAAATTAGAAGCACTGAATTCCAGAATAATAAGAGCATAATTTAAATATATCAGCTGGTAAAAAAAAATTAAGTTGAAGTTCCTAAATGACATAACATCTATCAATCATAGAGAATGACTAAAATAATTACCTATAAAATATATCCATTCATTAAGTTATGCCTGAATAGAACAGAGGTAAAAACTATATAACTGAATCACCAATGAGGGTGGAATTCCAGGATAGCACACATACTGAGAAAATCTAATAATGTAACCAAAATGTTCCTGTGCTGGAACCAACAAGGACAAAGGAATAAAAGGAGACCACAACAACAAAAATGGAGAAAAGAATCAGAAAAAGCTAAAGGTAAAAGTCGAGAGGATCAACCTCACTGCACAGGTTTTATCACATATGGCTCAGTCTCTCTCTGCAGAATGACTAGCTGCCTGCCGAGAGCATCGCACAAGGCATAAACACTGGAGTCTCCGTAAAACTGCATTTCTGAACTGAATAATACAGCCATGATTCATCATCATCATGTGCCCTGCCAATTGACGTAGGTGCTCATGCATCTCCACAGATCCTGATACCTGGTTGCCTGGAACAGCCCTCTTGATGATATCCTTCCATGCCATTGTTTCAGCCCACCCAGCATTATCTCTCTTGGTCTGCCTCTACCCTCCCTTTCCACCAATCTTTCCAGTTGTCGTGATGGTTTCCAGTGCCTCTCTTTTCATTGCATGGCCAAAGAATAATGTTTGTCTCCTTCTTATTGTTGTATAGAGGTCTACATTCATTAGCTTCAAACAATCATCGTAAGTTACTCTGGCCATCCAAGGTGTTCATAAACATTCGTCTCAGAAAGAACATCTTTGTTGCTTCTAAATCTTTCTTAATTTGTTCACTGACATTCCAAGATTTGCTGCCATAAAGCAGAACAGGTTCTATGCAGCCATAAAACACCCAACATTTTCAGAGTGCATGACAAACAGCTTGATAACTTCACCATGGAGAACCCTAATTAAAGAGAATCTGGAGAGGAGGCATGGGAAGGACATGTGGGTTGTAGGGGATGGTGAAGAACAGAAAGACTTGACTTGTTCGGCCAGTACCTTACTAGTATGAAAAGTTAAAGGCAGACAGTAACATGTAAAGATAATACGATGAGAGACAAATCAGTTCTGTTAGTGTAAATCTATGTTAGGAGACTTGTGAGCCATACAAAAAAATGTTCATTGCTGAGACAGCACAAGACCAAGAATTTACAAGTAAAATATTTATTTATGTGGCCTCCTACCAGATCAGCCTGAATGCACTTCTGCTCTTCATCCAGGACTTGTTTACTGTCCCCCTGGTCACTTCTGGCAAGTTCCTCTTGAATTATTGATAGAAGAACAGGGCAAATGTCTGCATTCTGCCGCATCTAGAACAGAAACACTTTAATCCTAAACGTGGTTGAAAAATGTTTATAAATGTCAACATCATTCAGGTCTATTCAGCAAGCGCTTAGCAAGGCAAAGTCGTTCCTGGTGTGAACAATTTTCTGTCATATATATTTATATTATATACAGAGGTCATTGAAAAAATTGTAACACTGTCACCGCCCAGCAATAAAATATATATATAAATATATATGGGTCGCTGAGTGAATTACAAGAGACAGTGAAGTTCATACTTGAGACAATATTGCAGTTATAGATAATCTATTTCAAGCCAACAAAAGAGGAAGAAGATAAACTTTATCACAAAGTGAAACATTGATGGAAAAGATCTCAGATTAATGATTAATTAAAGAAAAAAAAATCAAAGAAGCAGCAAATGAATTTGAAAATAAAGTGGGCAGCTATAAACAGATAAAGCAAGGAGTCAGACAAGATTTAAAATGTGTTTTGCCACTGAACTCTTCTCTCTGTCTCCCTGTAGTGAAATAATAAAGAAGGAGGTCAAGAATAGAACATGAAAGTGTGTGCTTTGTACATCGCTATTGTACTACTGTTATGTTATATATATATATATATATATATATATATATATATATATATATATATATATATATAATAAACAAAACAATGTATTGATTGGCACTTACAAAAAGCATGCGCCTCACTATAAAAATAAGTGTACTAAGAACAGGACCATCCAGGCACCCCCCCCCCCCCCAAAGGGTGTCCTTCTTTGGCCATGTCTATCGTACGACGGCTTGATCCACATCTATGGAATGCGGACAGAATTAATCTCAAACCATTGAAATGGCCCACATGTTTCATAAATGTTTGAAGCACAGAAGACTAAAAACTTTGTCTAGAACACACGAACATTTAAAAAAAGAGATCTGATTGGTAGGTTACATTGTGTTACAGGTCATTCACATAAATAAACACAGCGGGAACCATTGAGGCCGTAGAAATATATTAGGATTGTAATCAGTATGTAGGATATTCCCCGGCCAGCTCGACATATCTAGAGTTGGCCTTGGATATTCACATCTCGAGGATAAAAAAATCAAACTGGTGAAAATCCTAGAAACCTTATTCGACCGCATTACACAATCATATTCAATATTGGGGCACCACTAAACACTATATGGCTACGAAGTTTTAAAACAAAAGGTTATAAAAATTGTATATCACCTTTCCTTATGTCCACGTGCTTCCACTAGGAATAGTGCCAAAACTATAATCTATGTTTCTACGCTTGCTGTTGTACCCAGGGTTGCAGCAGGAATTTTTTTTTTAAAACCCAGCTAAGCTGAACGAAAACCCAAGCGATACAAAGGCAAAGAACAAAACAAAAAAAAAACCATACTGTTCAAAAGTACAAATTTTATAGTTACGAACGAAACATTTACCCACTTTTTATATAAGGACATATTTTTTTTAAAAACCAAGATTTAAAAGTTTCAACCCAAGGTGTCAAATAAAAACCCAGATCTGGGGGTAAAACCCATCATTGGCAGCCCTGGTTGTACCCAGTGTTGCCACTTTTCTTTGACAGAAAACATTTAGAAACGGGTCAAATTTTTTTAGAAATAGCTAGATCTGCACCGGAAACATCTAGGGGGGGGGGGTGGTGGGGGGGGTGGTGGGGGGGGGGGGGGGTCACAAATTACTTAGCTATTGATATGACTTACCCTATATAATAATAAGGCCCTCATCTGCACTAATGTATGTCTCACATGATTCACAGGATAAACTTAGCCGTGGGCTGCAGCGAGTCGCAGCTGGATTTGAAAGTGATTATTCAATCGACTGCGCTAACGCGGCCCCATAATCCTGAGAGCACTGATTATTTCTTGGCATCTCACTGCAACTGCCTCAACGTGATCCCTCAATTTAGGACATGCTTCTATCGAAAAGTATACCCAGGTACCTCAGTTTGCTTTCTCTTTTGGTGTTACTGGTATTAATTATGAGGCTTGGAACATTAGATCTTACAATTATATTATCCAGAGAGCACCACAAAACAGCCGCCTTTTCTGAGTTGATGACCGCACCCATTTCTGCACACCACTCAGACACTTTGTCTACAGCTGCCATCAGCTCCTGGGTTATCCGTTGTCTATCACTCCTCTGCCTATATTAACATACACCTTCGGCAAATGTTAATATCCTACTAACACATGGTGCTTCAAGTTCTGCAATCTTGCGTGTATACACATTGAAGAGCACTGGTGAAATTGCTAATCTTGCATAGTTGCTCCGGTCCTGAGCCAATGAAAAACACACAAAATGGTCATCACAGTCCCTTGTGGAAAGATTGACAGACTATTGTCTCAGCATATGCACAAGCATACACGCGCATTAAAAGCATACGAGAGCCGTCAGAAGTGTTAACACAAACTGTCTGACATTAGAAATGCAGTTAATTATCGACGGTAGCAGAAGTCACCTAGAGATCAGCAGTTGCACACGCGAACAATTTTAATCACATAAGAGCACCACCAATTTTGCAACGACCGGACACGCGCCATTTTCTGAATCTATAATTCACAACACTACGTTAGTCACAGTGAAAAGGGCATTCAACATTAAATCCGCAGCTCACAGTTTTGCGCCATGCAACTAACTCAGAAGCTGGGCGATGAAACTATATCCTTTCAGTCTACAAATAGAGCAAAAATGCAACGGCCACCGTCTGGCAGAAGCAAAAAATGTGCCACGACTCGATACAGTGACTGTGCCTAGCGTCCATTTTGACCGGAAATTGCAAAACCCGCGGGTGATATTACATGGTTCTGAGGTCCGTATATCCAGGCGAAGGGCAAACATACGTGAATGCAGGACAGCGGCTATCGAGTTCACAAGCCAGGGACAAACCCCTTCTCCATCAGTACAGATATCAAAATATCACATCTGACTATTGTAGGCATCCTCAAAATCAAGTGCACAACCGTCTCCTGTCCGTTTTGAAACCCCTCATAAAAATCAAAAGCAAAACGAAGCTGCATTTGACAAGGTATCTTTCCATGGCTGGTAACCACCTAAAACTAGTGGCAGTTGCTCTTCCCTTTTCAAAAACTTTTGTAGTTTAATAGCAATTATCTTTACTAGGACCTTGCCAAGTCTATTTTGAAGGGTGATATCCCTGTAAAGAATCTAGAAATATCTTTGCCTGGTTTTGGAAGTGGGATAAGGTAGCTGTGTACCCACTCTTGGGGTTCTGAAGCTGTACTGATGCTCTGGTTGTAATGAAAAGCCATCTACCTCCAGTCTTCATCACTCATGCTCCTCGTGTGGGCATACGTGACCTCGTCTGGCACCAGCTCAGTGCCTTTTTTGCAATACTTATTTGATATCCCCCACCCTAATGATATCCTGCAAATAATTATTCATAGTATTAGACAGATTATATCTAACCGAATTTCAGTTTGCGCTATAATTCTCTTCAAAAATGCTTCTTTCTCCGTTGTCATTAGTATATCTATATCCTTCCTTTGCAATTTCCAAAGTATACCCAGTGATTTATCTCCTCCAACTCTGCTCATAAAACGTTCCCATTTATACATTTTTTGCATCTGCTGAACTTTTCTACTTTTTAAATCTTTCTAGCTTCTCTACATCCTCTTGTAACCTGTGAGGTGCCTTTCTGTAATTGTTCAACTGCTGCTCGCTTTGCTCTTAATGCCTGTTCTACTCTTTGGGGCCACCATGGAGGCTGCACAAAAGGTGAGGTGGTAGTTTCACTGCATATGTTCTGTCAAAGGCATCCAAGGGTACTCGCCCTCTCATACTTGAAACTTGCGCCTTTTCACAGCCCCTATCTTGCTAGCTTTAGAAATTACGTCTGAGCATGGAATATGGTAACTGAAATAAGAAACGTGCCAAGAAGAAGAAATAGAGGGGAGCAGGAAAGAGATGACAGAACCTAAAGAGCCAGTGAGTGCAAAAGCAGATGCAGAAGCTGCAATATATGCAGCAAAACAAGAGAAAGAATCTTTCCAAGCAGAAAAAACTTAGCAAAAGCAAAATTAAGCACTAACAGGCCTGACTAAGGCAAATGAACTTGAGAAAAAAAAAATAGCATAAGGCACAGTCAACAGAACCCACACAGAAAAAGAACCAAGGTACCAAAACAACAGAAGTGTGGATAAAGACATCAAAGAAAAGCTCTCAAAACTACTACAAAAGAAAAAAAGCGGCTTGAAGAAAAGACGGTAGTGCGAATGAGCTTGTGCTGAAAAAGCAGGAAACATATAAACAAATCGAACCATTACAAGGTACCCGACACAGATGAAGAACTATACATTTCGGTGCAGTCCTGGAGTACATGCTCTGCTGTCTGGGGCACATTTCCACACGTGCACATGGCTGATAACACCTATCATTGACTTTTGTGTACATGTGTGGTTACGCTAATCGGTTGTGCCCCTGTTCTAAGGCGGAGGTTAATGGCTTGTTCTGGTTTGTCCTATTAAATAGTCGTCTTTGTGCTGGGGCTGGTGGTTTCCTGAATTGAATTTAATGATTCTTTTCTTTTGGTGGGTATGTGACTGGTACATTCGGCTGCACTTTTGTCGCACTGGAACCTTCCTCTGCCAGTTGATCAGCTTTCCTCATTACGACAGCCTCCACAATGAGACAGTATCTACTGCATTACTACTCTTTGCTGAAGGCAGAGATTGTGTCAGCAGTTTTTGCAATTCTGATAGTTTGTTCCCAGCTCTGGAGGGAGTGCTTAAAGTCCGGATTTTGCATTCTGTCAGCATTACCACATACTGTGAGCGCAGATTTGGTATTTTTCAGCAGTTTCTCTGTTGGGCTATGTTGATAACCTGAGTGTTCTGCTTCAGTTATGGCAGTACTTTCCGGTCAGTAAGCTGGACTATTCCTAGTACCATCTGGGAATTCTATGGTACACTCTAGCACCACCATTTCTAAACTGTAATTTTGTGCGGACCCATCTGTATAGAACTCGTACCCATCGTCTTCTGGGTATTCTTCATCGATATAACTGAGGGTGGCCATTCTGCTTTGTACACTATCTTGCTCTTTCTTGTCAAATATTCCTTTCACATTTGTCTAGATTTGTACTGTTAGTCTGCATTTTTCTCTCCATGGGTTTTGTTCTGGAATACTTTTAAGGGACAACCAATTTCTGTTTGTCTACATATTGTTTTCGCTTGGTGTATAAAGCATAACTTTTGTCTTTAGGAAAATAATCAAAGATGTTGAATGTGATAATTAGTTTCATTTCAGGATGGAACTTGTAGTTCGTGCAAGCTGTCTGGCTAGGTGTTGTAATGTAATCATTTGTTGTTGTTGTTTAACTCATTACTCACATATTTACTGACATGAAACACCAAAAGACTCAGATGTTTGTAAATATTTGGAGAAAAGAACCTCTTCTTCGACTTTATCCCCATCAGCAAATCGACAACACACCATAATCCCCCAGTTGACCCCCCCCCCCCCCCCCCGAGAAAAAAAAGTTACATTTTCACCTTTTCAATAACTTGCCTCTCTATGTCCTATGAGAGGTCATTCATCCCAAACTTCACAGTGCTGCCAGAAAGTAACAGCTTTAATACCTGTTCATGATTTGCATCACACACACACAAACACCTGCAGCTAATAAAATGCAAGGCACAACAAGTGATTCTACAACCGTGTGGGCCCTCTTGTCTCTTACCATTAATAATCCAGTCCAATTTTAGGAAAGCCCAACACATCAGCAAAATGTTCTGCAGGCCCACTTACTAACTCTGGACGCACTGCACTCAAATGCCTGCCTCCATTGTATAGCATAGCAAAACCTAACCCAATATAGTCATCCTTGCACGATCCTCTGCCTGGCAAAGACATCATTATTACATTTGTATCACCAAAATAGAAGCACACGGAAGAGCTCAACTCAGTGTTTCAAAAAAAAAACCACCCACCAAACTCCATAGCAAATGACTCAAATGTCTACTCAAAAAATGTGCAATACGCATGTGCTATCAGCAACAAGGTGATGCAGAAAGCATGGTGACCCGTCTTGGTTAGAAATATGTCCCAAAAACAGAAACAAATACATGTGCTGTCAAAGTAATTATATTGTCAGCGGCAGGTGCAAAAACTGCCTATGAAAACAAAAACCTCAGAGGCCTCCTGTTTCCAAAACACTTTATTGATAATGAAACCTGATTTTTCTTCTTTATTTTAGTATAACGGACCATTACAGGTGTACAAACAAGGACTTTAACTAAGCTTATATCCCCCCCACCCCCCCCCCCCCCCCCCCCCCACCCACACACACATTAACAAAAGTATATTACAGCAAGCATAATTAGATTTACATGCCATGCTGTCATTTTCCTTGTTGATCTACAATAGGAAACAAAGCATGTATTGGTATGTCAAAGCGCAATTAAATAAATTTGTAACAAACTGAATTGAAACATGCTGGTTTGTCCCCAAGTGGTGTAAATTTGGTAAGGCGATCTAAATAGGCAGTTTTCCAGTAAATGGTCTGCATCTGTGTTTATCAATTGTTGAACGAATTATAGCTACCTCTGTAGCACTATGAGGATCTGGCTGCATCGCGTGATCTTTTTGGTTTGCTCCATGGCAAGGACAGCTTTAGGTAATATTGCTTTTTTAAGGACGACTTTTTATTCTGTCTATTTTAGCAATTTTTCTTTTTATAAGAATCACGATAAAAAGCTTCTATGGTTGCAAGAGAACGATGAAGTCTTGCCATTCTTTGAAGAAAATCCTCTTCGCTGTCAAACTGGAGAGGAAAAAAAACAGAATTTAGTATGGAGGTAAAAGTTAGTTTTTTTTATTGCTGAAAGCATCAAAGATTTAATTGTGAACATGTTTATGTGCTGCTAATAAAATCTATTATAAGACATCCATCTCTTTGACCTAAAAATCTGTCATAATTTCTTTTGTCAACAGTCAGGTGTACATAACAGAATTCTACCTCACAATGTTTTGTTTGTTTTCCAGTGTCTATGTTTTCTCAGACCATTTACTATACTGTCATTTGGGTTCAGAGAAAGGATGCATTACCTCTTCTCCTGCCCCTTCTGGTTCTCGCATAAGTTGATCTGAATTTCAAAAACTGACATCACAGCACTCGGCCTTTTCTCAAAAGTGCTCCCTCCCCATCCCCAGCAGCCAGCGAAGATTTCCAAATCTGATGACACCAGTAGCAGAGTGATTGTATGCCTGTCATGCCTTTTTTCTGAGTGTGAGGTATCAGCCAGATCTCCTGGTGACTCCTCATTGCACAATTCTCCTGCTGCCAGGAGCTTCCACTCTCTAGTTCCCTCGCTCCCAAAGGGCCTTGACCCCGTCTAGCTTGTGGTGCATCAGTTTACCACAAAGCGGTGCAGAACCAGCAAGCCAGTTTGTTTCTAAACACAAAGCGGTGCAGAACCAGCAAGCCAGTTTGTTTCTCAACACAAAGCGGTGCAGAACCAGCAAGCCAGTTTGTTTCTCAACACACCTGTATGACTTGGAGAAAACAGGATGCTCATACACCTGCATGATCTGGAGAGAAAGGACAGACAGAGAAACAGAGAAAGGGGAAGAGAGGGGAGGAAGAGTGAAAAATGAAAGGGGGAGGGGGGGGGGGGGGGCTGGAAAAGTTGTCTTTGGTATCCCGCCTCTATCAAAACCTCTTGGTTGCTTTTTTTTTGGGAAGGGGGGGGGGGGGGGGGGGGGGGGAGCTCTGTCCAAGGTATTTTAAGCATTGTTATGTAAAACCACATCTCTGAGGCCTCAAGAAATTGTGTGGCCTGCCTACCGATTGTCCAGGACTTACAGCCATATGTTAAAACTGGATGTATGTAGCAAGCAAGAATTCTTTTTCTAACCTTCAATGACAAAGATATATTGCATAAGATGTTCTTTATTTTATAAAATGCAGTTTTTGCCTGTCCTATTTTGTTTCTTATTTCAGAATTGAATCTTCCATCTGATATTATCCATGTGCCCGGATACTTAAATTTCTGTACTTGTCCCAAAATAAAACCATTGACTTTTATTACACATTAAGGAATAATTTTTTTCTTTGATACCACCATTACTTCTGTCTTCCCACTATTCAAACTGAGGCCCATTCTTCCACTTTCGTGTATAAAATAGATCTAAAAAAAAAAAAAAAACATCCATAATGTCAAATGTACGCTGAAATATTAAAATTGTACTACAGAATAGTGAACATTTCATGTTTTGCATTCTTCAGTCAGTCAGTCTGTGGTAAATAATACCTAGGAATAAAAGTATTCTTAGTTTTATGATAAGTAACTAAACTTGTAAATTGTCACTGACAGCTTAGTTAATCCATGAAAGCGGCATTAGCTTTAAAAAAAAAAAAAAACAATTGTTTCATGTTGTCAGCATTAAGGCAGCTTCTTGTCTTACTGAAGGTATTTCCAGCTGTACTAAACAGACGTTCACTTGATAGGTGGTGCACACAGATAACGCTTGACAGTATGAACCAAGGTGGGAAATCTTTATATGTTTATTCGCAACCAATCCAGAAGCGGGTGTAAGGTAACCACTATTCCTATTCGGCCCGACCGCAACTATTCGGCCGAATACTGAATAGTTATTAGGTCCACTATTCGGCCCGAATTTGAAGCAAATATTCGGTACAGCCCTAATATATATATACACACACACACACACAATTTATTCAAACACACATATATGTATGTATGTTTATATTTATACACACACACATATATATATATATGTTCTTTCATAAAAATCACGATTAAAAGCTTCTATGGTTGCAAGAGAATGATGAAGTCTTGCCATTCTTTGAAGAATATCCTCTTCGTTGTCAAACTGGAGAGGAAAAAAAAAACAGAATTTAGTATAGAGGTAAAAAATTGTTTTTTTAAATTGCTGAAAGCATCAAAGATTTAATTATGAACATGTTTATGTGCTGCTAATTAAATCTATTATAAGACACCCCCCTCTTTGACCTAAAGATCTGTCATAATTTTTTTTGTCAACAGTCAGGTGTACATAAAAGAATTCTACCTCACAATGTTTTGTTTGTTTTCCAGTGTCTATATTTTCTCAGACCATTTACTATACTGTCATTTGGGTTCAAAGAAAGGATGCATTACCTCTTCTCCTGCCCCTCCTGGTTCTTGCATTAGTTGATCTGAGTTTCAAAAACTGACATTACAGCACTCGGCCTATTCTCAAAAGTGCTCCCTCCCCATCCCCAGCAGCCAGCGAAGATTTCCAAATCTGATGGCACCAGTAGCAGAGTGATTGTATGCCTGTCATGCTTTTTTTCTGAGTGTGAGGTATCAGCCAGATCTCCTGGTGACTCCTCATTGCACAATTCTCCTGCTGCCAGGAGCTTCCACTCTCTAGTTCCCTCGCTCCCAAAGGGCCTTGACCCCGTCTAGCTTGTGGTGCATCAGTTTACCACAAAGCGGTGCAGAACCAGCCAGCCAGTTTGTTTGTATGACTTGGAGAAAACAGGATGCTCATACACCTGCATGATCTGGAGAGAAAGGACAGACAGAGAAAGGGGAAGAGAGGGGAGGAAGAGTGAAAAATCAAGAGAAGGGGGGGGGGGCTGGAGAAGAGAAAAAATATTGAGGGGGGGGGGGCTGGGGGGGGGGGGGGGGGGGGGGGTTTTAGAACACTAAGCGTTAGGAACACTGCAGAATAAGCTGTAAAGAATTAAGAAATCTAAGTGACATCTATTTGCCAGCAGTCTCCTGGTGTGAACATGGTCTAGAAACAATGGCACACAAGGTAGGCACTCAACCCACTCCTGCCTCATGCATGGCTGTCAGAAGAGAAACTAGATTATTATGGGCTAGAGAGAATGATGCACCTGGGTGTGAACAGACGGTCCAGCCAGCACACTACTCTCAGAGGAGAATCAAGAGGGACATACATCCAGACTGTGTTTGGGATATGCCTACCCTGCATGCACAGACCCGACGGTGGATTGTGTGGATGAAACCTCTTATAATTCAACAGACAAGAAGGCGATTACCAGCAGGCTCTCGTGGAGAGCATTGAGCAAGACAGAGAACTTAAGACGCATTTCTCATCCACTGCACCTAGGTCCATTTCCAATCGTTTCGACATTGTCCTGCCATTGGATCAAGTTGGACACAGGCGAGAGAGTGAGGTCGACGAACTGCGCAACTCTTCCTCACTTAAATCTAAGTCCTTGCGCAAGTCACTTTCATCCAATTATCATCCTCATTATTCTTTTTTAAGTCCTGTGGCAATGAGGGAGCAGCAGACGTGGGTTACGTTGGCAGCCGTAGCCGCACACCTGCATGCAGGATTCTCAGGCTTTATGGTCGCTGTCCACTGATAGGATCAGTAGTGGACTTTGGCAGCCCTAATACATGCCTGCTCCACCATGTCCTGACCAGCATACCCAGGCTAGAGGGAACCCTTATTCTGTGGTCAACAGTAACATACCACTAAAGTTTGGCGCATATGACAAGCAGTCCAAACCAACAACCAGTAACCATAAATAACCAATCTTGAAAATGTAGAACATTTCACATATCTTGGCAGTGTGGTGCCCCTCCCAGGAGGGACCGAAGAGGACATACAGTCAAGTCTGAACAAAGCTGGAAATCCAACAATTACTGCAGAGGAACGAAACTCCGACTCTACAAGAGCATCATTTTGCCAGTTCTTCTTTATGGAGCGGAATGCTGGAGAATGACCAAAAAGGATGCACACAAGCTGTCCACCTTCCACCACACATGTCTACGTAGAATTATCAAAATTTTCTGGCCACATACAATTTAAACACTAAACTACTTCAAGTCACAAACCAAGAAACTTTAGACAGTATGATAACCAAGAGAAGATGGAAATGGCTTGGCCACGTTATGAGAATGAATCCTGATATACCTGCCAAAACAGCTCTCACATGGACCCCAGAGGGAAAGAGAAAACAGGGGTGCCCAAAAACAACACGGAGATGAACGATGGAAAGTGACCTGAGTGCGGCATCTTTGACATGGACAACTGCACTGAAGATTGCGCAGGACAGGAAAGCATGGAAAGTCCTCTTTGAAGCCTCATGTGCCACTAGGCATAACGAGAACTGATGATGATGATGAAAGTTTGGCTCATGGAACGTGCAAACTCTCATGGATTGAGAAAATGCATCTGCATCTAAAAGACAAACTGCCCTGACTGGGAAAGAACTTGGTAGATATAACATCAAATCTCCAGCTGTGAGCGAGACAAGATTTGCTGGTGAGGACGAACTTTGCAACGTTGGTGCAGGTTACATTCTACTGGAGTGAATAAATCCCAGAGAATTCAGAGAAGCTAGAGTGGGTTTTGCAGTGAAGACCACATTAGTCGGTGAACTGACTAAACCCCTAAAAGGTAAAAGAGATGGGCTGATGGTAATATCAATACCATTGTTTCAATGAAAAAAGAATGCAACAATCATAAGTGCATATGCACCAACAAGGACTAATACAGACGAGACTATAAACTGGATTTTGCAAAGACCTGCGGACTATCATCAAACCAGTACCTAAGGATGACAAGCTTATTATCCTTAGCGACTTCAATACTATAGTGGGTACAGAGTTTAACACGTGGGACAGTATAAATGGAAGACATGGAGCTGGCAATTGTAATAGCAATAGCCTACTGCTGCTCCAGACCTGTGCAGAACATGATGTAATTATCACAAACATTTTATTTCGCCTCCCTACCCGTAACAAAACCTCCTGGATGCACGCCTGTCCTAAACAGTGGCATCTTATTAATTATGCCATAGTAAAAAAGTACAACAGACAGGACGTACGAGTAACTAAGTCAATGTGCTGCGCTGAATGTTGAAAGACCATCATCTCGTCATTTCAAAAACTAACCTCCGCATTCAACCGACAAGATCACCACAGGGAAACAAGACTTAGAAAAAAGTCATATTCTTCAGGCTAAGAAATAAAAATACGAAAAATGTATTATATATCCAAGCTGGAGGATCATCTACAATCCATCACCTCAGACGGCCCAAATATGGAAGAGACATGGACCCCCCTGAGAGATCTGATCTACAGCACAGCTTTGGAGACACCAGGACTGGTCACGAGGAAACACCAGGGTTGTTTTGATGAGAACTCAGAAGATACTCAGCATATACTAATGGAGAAACACTGCCTCTATAAAGCTCTGTTTAATGATATAAATTCAAAATCAAAGAAGAACTCCTTCAATAATATTAGAAGAACTGTTAAAACCAAACTTTTCCAGATGCGTGACCTATGGCTAAGCAACAAAGCTGATGAGATTAAGCATTTAGCAGACAGGCATGATATAAAAAATGTGTATGATGCTTTTAAAACTATATATGGACTTAAGGCACCATCATCCTATGACCTTCTCAGCAAAGATGGAAATACACTAATCACTGATGACAATGCAATCCTCAATCCTTGGGCTGAACACTTCAGTAACTTCCTGAATCTACATCCATCCATAAACGAAGAAGCTGGTTTGCCCCAGGTCCCTATGAATACAGCCCTAGATGAAACACCAACTGTTCTGAAGACCAAGAAAGCCACTAATCAGCTGTATAGTGGTAGGGCTCTAAGTGTTGATGTGATACCCACAGCAGTTTTTAGTAAAGAAGATGGTTATGTCCTCACTGAGAAATTACACAAAATATTCAAACTTAAATGGCAGCAAAAAATACTTCCACAAAACTTAAAAAATCAGACACCTGTATAAACGTAAAGGAAACCATGGAATCTCTCCAGAAGAACATGAACTGTCTGCCAGAGTTTATAGCTGGGGAACAGTAAGCGAAGTATGCACGCTGTGCATGCTGAAAGCCATACAAGCTAGGTAGACCATATGGATAACTTCACTGAAAAAAACTGCTTGGGAAAAACCAACACACAAGTAGACAGTGTCTGTTACCTTGGATGGAGTCTGCCAATGTGCACATGTGTCAAAATTTACAAGCAATAATGGACATAACAATTCAGTGACATTACTTACCTCATCCTGAGCCGAACCACCCTGTAGATTTCTTGCTGCAGGTGATGTTCTACAATTACAGGTGTATCTGACTGACTGCTCCAAGGCTAACGGCTGCTGAAATATATGATGTAATATAAATGAAAAAGAGGAATATCTACTTTTCAATTTTTTTGGGGGGGAGGGGGGGGGGGGGTTCAAACCTCAGGTAATCAATTTAGCAGACTGACACCAGGTTAGATAGTTTTATACAGTTGTCACAAACTCTTGTCTATGTGTTATAAACTTAAAAAACTTTTATGACAAAACTAGAAAACTAAGTAGGTTGTTGAAAAATGTAGAAGGCTATGTAATAATTTCTGATAAATGTAGCCAGTTATCTGTTAGTAAAGTAAAAAAAAAAAAAAATTGACCCTTTACACAACAGTGGAACATTGAGAATATGAGGTTAGACATATTTTTATTGATCAATTAGCTCTTGACGGGTGATATAGGATATGTGTAAGTTTATTGCAAATATAGGATGCTATGTATAAGTTTATGATAAATGTAGGATACCATGTGTAAGTTTATGATAAATGTAGGATACCATGTGTAAGTTTATGATAAATGTAGGATACCATGTGTAAGTTTATGATAAATGTAAGATACCATGTGTAAGTTTATGATAAATGTAGGATACCATGTGTAAGTTTATGATAAATGTAGGATACCATGTGTAAGTTTATGATAAATGTAAGATACCATGTGTAAGTTTATGATAAATGTAGGATACCATGTGTAAGTTTATGATAAATGTAGGATACCATGTGTAAGTTTATGATAAATGTAGGATACCATGTGTAAGTTTATGATAAATGTAAGATACCATGTGTAAGTTTATGATAAATGTAAGATACCATGTGTAAGTTTATGATATAGGATACCATGTGTAAGTTTATGATAAATGTAGGATACCATGTGTAAGTTTATGATAAATGTAGGATAACATGTGTAAGTTTATGATAAATGTAGGATACCATGTGTAAGTTTATGATAAATGTAGGATACCATGTGTAAGTTTATGATAAATGTAGGATAACATGTGTAAGTTTATGATAAATGTAAGATACCATGTGTACCATGTGTAAGTTTATGATAAATGTAGGATACTATGTGTAAGTTTATTTGTAGGATAAATGTGTAAGATACCATGTATAAGTGTAGGATACCATGATAAATGTATGATAAATGTAGGATACCATGTGTAAGTTTATGATAAATGTAAGATACCATGTGTAAGTTTATGATAAATGTAGGATACCATGTGTGCAAGTTTATGATAAATGTAGATACCATGTGTAAGTTTATGATAAATGTGATACCATAGTTTAATAAATGTAAGATACCATGTGTAAGTTTATGATAAGTGTAAGATACCATGTGTAAGTTTATGATAAATGTAGGATACCATGTGTAAGTTTATAATAAATGTAGGATAACATGTGTAAGTTTATAATAAATGTAGGATAACATGTGTAAGTTTATAATAAATGTAAAAAGCTGTGAATAAGTTGAAAAATGCACACTGCTGATAGTGACAAATGTAGAAGGCTGTGAAAATTTAGGGCAAATGTATCTGTAAGTTTATGACAAATGCAGGTTATCGGAAAGTTAAATGAAAGATGCAGGTTATGTATAAGTTAATGACAGATATAGATTATGTGTAAGAATTACAGATGTGGGTTATGTGTAAGTTAATGATGAACGTCATATATGATTACATGACTTGTATATTAGCAATAAATTTATAACTCTGTACATTCTAAAGTGCATGTGTGTTACCACAGTACTTGAGTAGAGAACAGTAACACTGCACCCTATCAGCATGTCGTATAAGGCAGGAATTTCAAACAGAGGGCCATTTGAGGGTTTTATGGGTCATATTTGTGTTGTCATGAGGACCGCACACAAAGAAAAATTGAAGTCATTTGATAAAATTACCATTTTTACTACTTAGACTTAAAAACATACAATGTGCATACTAACGGTTTAGTGATTAGTCACATTCATGAATGCAAAGTGATGAAGAAGCTGAACAAAAGAAAACAAAATACAATTTTAAAAGGCAACACAGACTTATATGTGTGCCTTGCAACTAGCGTGGGCGATTATGCCTCTCCACAACCTGCGATCCACAAAACTGTGTGTATAAATGGGTGTGTCAACATCCCACTATGCCATGACAAAATGCTGTCAAGAATCTTCTCATGCCATCTTCCTCTGTCTCTCTTTCCACAGATCTTTCCAGTGGTCGTAACATGTTCCAGTTTCCTCTTCTCTTCAGCCAACACATCTGACTTCTGCAGGCATACACCAGACAAGGTAAAATTATTCTAAATATGAATGGAACTGTCTGTTCTCTGGTAAAAAAAAGGAAAAGACACAACAAACCCCCCCCCCCCCCCCCCCCCCCCCCACCCCCCCCCCCCCCCCCCCCCCCACCCCCCCCCCCCCCCCCCCCTAGTGAAGCGTGTTTTAACAAAAGTATGCAAAGGTCTGTCATCAATGAGGGTCCTGGCCGCCGCTAACATTGAGCAGAGACTGCTTCTGATTCTGTTTCATAGACTTGTTTTTTTCTCATATTGAATATTCTCTAGCCATTCTCAGTCTCAACCATGCTCAGGTTGAAAGTCTTGAAAAGGTGCAAAATGAAGCAAGGCACATTATTCTAGGGTGCAATGGAGACACCTCTTGTGTTGCAATGAGATACCTTCTCGACTTCCCTACCATAAACTATAGGATCAAGATCTGGAGGGCTCACGCATACTTCAAGATAAGCTCAGATCTGAAGCACTCTTTGCACCACAGGAAAAAGAGCAATAGATTCTTCTTCTTCTTCTTCTTCGCATTCACCAGCTGTAAACTCTGGCGGAAGGTTCTGGTTGCTCGTCCACTACTGAACTGCAGTCCTGCTCCAGAACCTGAGTGTTGTGTGTGCATCAGTTTTACAGATCTTATTCTCTTGAATATGGACTGTTGGTTCCTTGCCTCTCCGGCAGATGCACTCCGACTTCAAAGGAAGCTCCCCAATTAGTCGACTCTTACGACATGCTTTTGGGGAGGCAGTGGGTCTATTCTTGTTTTCCCCACAATGAGGCCCCGAAACCCACATGGGGGAGCAATAAATTAAAAAGGGGCAAATCATGGCTGTGTAGGGCAGAGGATGACATCATGCAGGTCTGCAGCCTTACAAATATCCATCCAGGTGAGGAATGGATACCAGCGTCTAAAGCGCCTAATCTCACATTCTCCTGTGTCGTCATGTGACGATAGGAGTTATTGGGAGCAGAATCCAGTTGCTGTCAAAGCCGAGGTATGCACGCTTATCAGTGACAAGTCAGATGAGACAAATGTATTGATCTTCACAGAAGGTCAGTTTTATGAGAACATAAGAGTGCATGGGCATTTACAGCTTGCTGTTCAGGCAGAACAGTTCAAGAAGCCAGCGGTGTCTTCTCCATGACCACCAGCAGCATGACGATGGAGATGATGGCGGTGACACAGGCTTTCAAGTGGCTTGAATCACAGGACTATTCCCGCGTGTGTGTCCTGAGTGATTCTTTGAGCATGATCCAGCGAGTCGAGGCAGGCTCGTTACACAGACAGTTGGCTTATGATGTCATTGCAAAATTCTTCTTTCATATTTGTTGCAGGGCATACAAGTGTTGTTCGTAAGGAAAGAGCAGATAGAATGGCAGGTTCCGCATTAACTGAAGATGGCCGGCCCATGGATTACGCACACACTGTTAGTGCCCTTAGAGAGATAGGACATTCTAAGAATTATGGAAGCGATGTGTTCCACATCACTGCTAAAAATACAAGAATTGGGAGTAAAGATCAGCACAGCCAAGCATGAGAAACACACCAGATGCACATGAAGTTTTGTCAACCAGCATAGGACTGGCACTATTAACCGCGTAACGCTGATAAAAATGTTAAAGGGGCAATCTGAGCATCTATGGATGTGTCCAGAGTGCTGTAAAGATAATCCAACTCATAATCCAATAGTGAAGCAATGGCCTATATGGAACTGAAAGAAGTAAATGAGGCATTAAACAAAATTGGAAGCAGTGAGTTCCAGAATAATGACAGCATAGTTTAAATGCATGAGGGGAAATCAATAAGTAAGTCACAAATGGCTGTCGTTACTCGCCTGTCACCTCTTATTATCTCCTCCACTGGCTGTATGGATGCATCAATAGGACGACCAGATCGGACTTCATCAACAATCGCAGAGTGTCCTTTGAGAACATTTTTTTTTATCCAGCTAAGCGTCGCTTTAAGGTATAAACATTTGTCAGCATAAATAGGAAGCATTTCCTTATGAATTTCCTTTGCAGGCAGCCCTTTTGCTAGAAAAAAACAACAGCACTTTGTACTTTGAGGATGCCCTCCATAAATACAGTCGCCATTTTGTTTCTGTGTTGCGAATGCACATGAAACATCTAGCGAACGGAGACATTAAGTTCAATGTCGCTGTCACCTAATGACACCTTTGCAAATCACCAACTACATTTTCCTGCCTTCCCATAGCCATGTGTGAATTACTTGTTGACTTTCCCCTTGTATTAACTGATCATTATCTGCTGGTAAGTAAAATTAAGTGGAAGCCCATAAATGACATAACATCCATTAATCAAAGAGAGCAACTAAAATAATAACTAATAAAATATACGCATTCATTAGGTCATGCCGGAACAGAAAAGAAGGAAACCAATAATACAGATAAATTACTAAAGAGGGTGGAATTCCAGTGAATCAAGATGCTGGCAGTGGATAGGACACACATTGAAAAATCTAATAATCTAACTAGATTGTTACCGTGCTGGAACCCACAAGGACAAAGGAATAAAAGAACACCAGCAACAAAAAAAGGGAGAAAAGAATCGGAAAAAGCTAAAGGTAAATGTTGAGAGGATTGACCTCAATGCATTAGGTTTTATCACATATGGCTCAGTTTCTCTGCAGAATGGGTAGCCATCTGCTGACAGTTTAGCACAAGGACATACATACCAGACTCTCCATAAAAACTGCACTTCTGAACTGAATGACGCAGTCATGAATCAAACCAGCAAACACTAGACCACTTCATCATAGAGATCCCTAATTAGAGCGAATGTTCCCCAAGTGGGTTCCAGGCCCCATTGTGGGGAAAACAACGATGGACTCACTGCCTAAAAGTATGTTTTAAAGAGTCAACTAACTGGGAGCTTCCTTCAAAGCCTGAGCACATCTTCCTGAGAGGCAATAAACCAACATCTGCATGCAAATAAGCCAAACCACTGAAACATGTGAGTTGCAGGTGACAGTAAAGAACAGGAAGACTTGACTTGTTTGGCTGGTACCTTACTCATAATATGAAAAGTTCAAGGCAGAGGCAGACAGTGACGTGGGAAGATTATGTGATGAGAGATAAATTATGATAGTGAAAATCTAGCTTGTGAGACTTGTGAGTCACACAGTAAATATTCATTGTTGAAACAGCACCAGACCAAGAATTCACAAGTAAAATATTTATGTGGCCTCCTACCAGATCAGCCTGCATGCATTTCTGCTTTTCATCCAGGACTTGCTTACTGTCCCCCTGGTCGCATTTGGCAAGTTCTTCTCGAATTATTGATAGAAGTACAGGGCAAATGTCTCTTTGCTGCTGCATCTAAAACATAAACACTTTATTCCTAAACGTCGCTGAAAATCTTTAATAAATGGCATCATCAAGCAGGTCTTTTATCAAGCGGAGTAGCAAGACAAAATCGTTGTGGTGTGACAAATTTTCTGTCACTCCCTCCCCTTTTAACATTATATAAGAGGCGGCCGAAAAAAATTTTAACACAGTAATCACCCAGCATTGAAATGTATCAACATGTACGATATTTGCCGTCTTTGAATACATACTACTTACTTACTTACTTAGTCGCTCCTCTTCTACCTTTGGGTTTAGATGTTTGCCAGACATCTCTATCAGCAGTTTTCTTTCTAGCTTTGTTCCATTCCAGTCCTCTGTCAGTCAGGGACTGTCAGATGTTGTCCTCCCAGCGGACCCTGGTTCGCTCTTGGGGTCTGGTTCCCTGGTTCTTAGCCTTCCATGGTGGCCGATTTTCTCCGTTTCTGCATACATGTCCAAACCATCTTAACTGTGGCTGATCCACAGGGGTTTGTAAGTACTGTGTATCAAGATCTTGACGTATTGTCTGACTGCTGACTTTGTCCCTTCTTGTCACTTTGATCATGAGTGTTACGTGTACATCCGTTTTACAGATCTGACTCATTTGTATGCAGACTGCTGGTTTTTTGCCTCTCAGGCAGATGCACTCCGACTTAGAAGGAAGCACCCAATTAGTCGACTCTTACGACATGCTTTTGGGTAGGCAGTGGGTCTATTCTTGTTTTCCCCCTAGAACAAAGCCCTGGAACCCACACAGGGACCTTTTATATTATAAGGATATATTTTATTTTAAACCAAGGATTCCAAAATATGAACCCAAGGTGTCAAATAAAAACCCAGACCTGGGGGTAAAACCCCATCATTGGCAGACCTGGCCAGGGAAATATTCCAGCGCGCAGCGCATGCCGGAAGTCGGGATTGTAAAGGCCGTCTAACCAAACGTGTATATCGCTATTGTTAAAAGAGTACTGCAGGTCACACTTCAAGGATACAAATCAAGCAGGTACAAATGGCAGAAACCTCGTTCGACCGCATTATACAGAATATGGGGCACCACCAAACACTATATATTATTTTAATACAAATGGCTACAAAGAAAAAGAAAAAAATGGTTATAAAATTGTATGTCACCTTTCTTTATGTCCAAGCGCTGCCACTGCGAATAGTGCTGAAACTAGATTAGTGTTGCCACTTTTCTTCAGTGTTGCCACTTTTCTATATTAGAAAACATCTAGAAACGGGTCCAAACATATCTAGATTTGCGCGGGGAAACATCTAGCAAAAACATCCATATGAAACAGTCACAAATTACATAGCTGTTGATATAACTTTCCCTAGTGAATCATGTCCTCATCTTCACTGATGTCTGTCTCACAAGATCCACAGGATAAGCTTAGCTTCGATGATGAAGTTGTAGCTTCAGATCCAAAATGAATCTGGTATGCTTTAGCTATTCCAATTTCTTTCAATACACAATCAGGGAGCTGATAAGTGGAACAGCTTTTATTTGCTGTCATCAGGCCAGATGTTATTGTCAAGATAGCATTTAAGAGGTCAAATTTAATCCAGTTTCTTAGCTTAGATTTAATATAATTCATAGCACTGAATTCTCTAACTACGTCAGCATTTGAATGGGGTAGTATCATGACAGACATGGCACATTCAAGAGGTTACAGAATGAACTGTTTCATGAGGTATCTTTAAATTGTCTCACCTCACTCCAAAACGCTTCAGTTTCTGTTTTGTTTGTCTAGTCAACCAAGTTTATTTTGACGTTTTGAAGTATTAAATGACGTTAGGTAAATTTAAAATAGGGAAACTGGAGAAGCGTCTTGATTTTGGTGATTTTTAGTTCTCGGTTCCACTCGTCTGTATTGAAAGACCCCCTTTTTAACAGTTTAAAATTAAAGTTTGGGGTGAACTTGTTATAGTAATTATGGACGAGATCGCTTAGGCTTCGGATCTCCTTCTTGGCAGTGGGACTTTTAACATTCAAAATTTTGGGAAGATCCTCAAAAGATGTTTTTGTGAGTTTTTCAGTAAATCCAAAACATTGGGTTCCTTGACCCGCAGATAATCTGTGGGGCTTATTAATAAACATGCACATGCCAACAGTATTCATTGCAATAACCAAAATAAAATAGCATGTTTTATTTTGACTGGTTTATTGATTATTACCCATATATGTAGGTAAATATTTGTGCAATAACTTAGAACATCCTGAAATACATTACACAAATTATAAATTCAGTTTTCTGTCTCGATGATAGTGTTTATGAAATTTGTGGGGTAATCTTAGTTACAAAAATTTGTTTGTCTAAAGGTGAGTCTTTTTTTTTTTAAACAAAAGAGACTATCTGTAACATCTACCAGAGTACAGGTTGTAGTTAATTCCTCGCCACACAACATGTCAGTTGGCTTTGAAAGGAATGGGGAAACTTCTTCTTATAATAAACATTATCTGGAGAAATTTCACTTGTTTGTGTCGAATTTCTCTGTCAGGTTTGTTTGAGCTGATGTGTTAAAAGGTAAAATATTTTTCATAGATACTCTTTTACTCACATCACTCTCTCTCTCTCTCTCTCTCTCTCACTGCTTGGTGTCTAACTGACATCCTTATGAACTTTCACCCTTTCTCTTTACTTTTGGTTTGGATCTGTGCCAACAGTACTGACAAATAATGAGACTGTTTTCATTTATCTTTATCTTTCATGGAGCAACCATTTGGGCTCTCTCTCTCTCTCTCTCTCTCTGCAAGGGTCAAATTTGCTGGTGGTTTCCTACATGCAAGAGCATTTATTCTACTACAAAAAATGGAGTCTCAAAATTCACACTTGCTATTTTCGCCACAAATATCATGCGATTTAATTCGTACTCTATTATTTTCCCTGTGTAGTCTTTCTCATCTAATAAAGACTTTCTAACGATAGAGAAAAATGTGCTCGCCGTTCTTAGCACTGACCCTGGTTTCCCCATTATTTATACCTTTACATTTCCCCCTATGTGTTTTAGTCTTTTATGCTGCCATTAATCTGTCATGGGTTATTCTCTCATCATCTAATAGCATAATCAATCGAGTCGCATAGCTGACACTCATGTGGGTATTTAACTGTATTCTTTTCCTGCATTCCTTTCTCTCTTTTACGAAAGTTATCTCCAAACTGTGGGTTCCGATCACACCACTGTCGTTGACCATTTTTCTTCTTACAATATGGACATTCACTATTGGACCTCTATCTCTCAGAGGTCTGAAACTCTTGTTCTCTCGTTTCTTCTCGTGAGTGTAGTTTATGTATACTGGTTCCACCGCTGCTCCGTAATTCACATCTACACTTCTGTTGAAACTGGACATGTTTTGATGCGTATTCCAGTATACGGCACCAAAATTCTCTATCTCCTTAACTGTTGATTGTTTCTGCTCTATCAAGAAGGTCATCCTACTGTTTGTGACACTTGACAGCACTTTATCTTTAATTAATAGATCTTGCAACAAATCATATGGTTTGGTGCTCTTACTAGGGCTGTGAGAAGGAATTCACCGGAAAGACGCGTGAAATGTTTACAAGGGAACCCCTACGAACTAAATAGCAATCATTGTTGGTCCTCACCTGGCAGTCTCTGTGTTTTTATCTTTTAGCTACAGTTGTTGCCAGAGAAACAAAACAAAGACTGTGGAAGAAAGGACAGCCGCTCCATATTACAAGTGGGGCAACTTCTAACACAAGAGAGATAACCCATAACACAATAAGGACAACTAACACAACGAGATAGATCATAACACAAGAGAAACAACAACACGAGAGCGAGATTTCTAATGCAGCGAGATCGTGAGACAAAGTAGCAACACACAACAAGAAAATCAACGATATGTAGTATAACAATCGTCAATACCATTCGTTCGTTAATACTAGCCTGGTCCCAAAGTGGGACGCATTGTTTTTATTTTAACCTACCCCGGCTGCGGTTTTTTTTCCGCGAGGAGTTACCACCGAATCTGGCTGACGCTCAACACTCAGGGGGAAGGATGAGACGGATATATAATCATACGGTTACTGGTATCATCGGATTTGGAACTCTTCACTTGCAGCTGAAGATGAGGACGAAGTGCTTAAGGGAATGCCCCGAGTACTATAATGCCAGTTCTTGGACCAACTCAAAAAGCTCTGTGAGTCAGTTACAATTAAGGCATGTTTGTACAGCTAATTCTCAAGCCAGCAGGGACTGTCTCCATTTCCAAACTAGACGTTGTATGCAAGGCTTTGCCGCACTAGGCGACGTCCATTCGCCTTTGTTAATAACGGGCAGTGAGGGAGACGCCTACACGGTTCTGAAAAGGTTGGATAGCGAATTGTCGAATGCAGTTAAAGCCGCAGAAGTCGAGGAGTTTGTCAATCCTGAAAAGTAAGGTGGCGGCAATCAGTTTTACGGTGGCAATAGGATCCCCACGGTTCTTAAGAAACCAATGAAGAGCCTTGGGCGCGTTTACGATCCCAAGTTATCTTATAGAGCAAAATTCCGGCGCATATGAGTCACTGGCTACAGGTCTAGTCGCGTTCGAGCGACGCAGGTAAATCGGAAAGTTTAAGGTATGGTGTCTCCAGTTTATTATGACCCCTAAGTTTCTCTGGCCGCTCCACCTTTACGAGGTCAGCATGGCAGGCCATGGAGAAAAAATTAACACCACTATGAGAAAGTGGTTTGTAGATCCGCCTTGTCTGACCGATGTGGCTCTTATTGTAAACAGGCTAATCTGGTGCTCCCTTTCAAGTCGACAAGGTGAGACTCGCGATGATGATGTGAGTTCTTATTTCCCATAGTAGCAGCCATTCAGTTCGCTCGGTACAAAGAGAGAAGTAACTATGCAGTTAAGGGCAAGTCTAAAAATATCATTACATTATTTCCCTTAATTTACCAAGCATCGGGTCACTAAAGCAGTGCAGATGATGATAGCTGCTGGTTTGAATGTGTAGTATTATGATAAAAATTACCAG